TTGAGTCTCACTCCGTCACCAAGGCTGTAGTGCAGTGGTGCAATCTTGGCTCACTGCAACCTCCACCTCTCAGGTTCAAGTGATTTTCCCACCTCAGCCTTCTGAGTAGCGGGGATTACAGGCGCCCACTACCATGCTCAGCTAATCTTTGTATTTTCAGTAGAGACGGGGTTTCACCGTGTTGGCCTGCCTGGTCTCAAACTCCTGACTGCAAGTGATCTGCTTTCCTCAGCCTCCCAAAGTGTTGGGATTGCAGGCGCGAGCCACTGCCCCTGGCCCATAAATCATTTTTAAAAAATAGTTTTTAAATTTAAAACATAGTTTTGCACATTAAAAAAAAAAAAGTTTTGCACAGGTTGAACACAAAGTGCCTGGAAGTGGTGGTGGGAAGATCAGGTCATAGGAGGGTGGTTCAGGTGCCCCAAGCATTAGCCAGGGGTGATGTGGATTGTGTCAGAAATATCAAGTGATAATGACGGAAAAGGGAAAAAGGATGGCAACTTGTTGCCATCCCAGAGGGAGGGGCAGAGGGCTCACCCAGCCATCCACAGTGGGATCCGTGCTACTGTTCCTGGCAACGGCTCCCTTAACTTCCCGCCGCCAGGGCCCCGCCCCTCACCCCGGGCCCCGCCCTTCACGCAAGTGACCCAGCCAATGGGGCGCGGCGGCTGGTTCGGGCCCGGACTGTCGGCGGCTGCTGAGGTGGAGGCGGAAGCAGGTGGAAGGAGGCGGTGGCGGCGGAGGGGCAGGATGGCGGGGCCCGTCCTCCTGAGTGTGGGTGCCGCAGTGGGAGCTGGTGACCCGACACCCGTGTGCGCCCCCGGGATCCTGCTCTCCATCTGCGCCTACCACGTGGAGCGGGAGAAGGAGCAGGACCCCGAGCATCCGGCCTTCTGCGACCTGGGACCCTGGGTGAAGTGCTTCGCCGCCTTTGCCTCCAGGTAGCCACTGGGGCGAGGGCGGAGGCTCGGGGAGGGGAGCGCGCGGCGGGAGCTCGGGCCTGGGCCGGCGGGGACCAGGCTGCCGGGGAACGGACGGGGTAGGGGCCGGGGCCAGGCGGGGGGCAGCGGCTTAGCGCTCTTGCTCTAGGGGCGGCCCGAACTCAGGCCGCGCGGCGGAGGTGGCTGGGCCGCGAGGCCGCCAGGGCGGGATGAGGTGATTGAGTGCAGCTGGGAGGCCGGGGCGGTCGGGCGGGCTGGGGCTGCGCTGGGCTGGAGCCGAGGGTCTGAGGAGGGCGGGTCCCGGCCAGCCTGACAGGTTTCCTGGTTCTCGGGAGGCGGGCCGGGGTGTGGGACCCTGTCCGCCGCACCCGCGAGGCCAGCGACCACCTTTTGTCCCCCCATCGCTGCAGCCAAAGCTTTGGGGCCGGCGCGGACTCAGGGGGCTTGCGTTTCCCAGTGTCTTCCTGGTGCTAGGACAGGTGTTTCCGTGGTCAGGCCTCTTTGTACTCCAGCGCTAGTGAGAATTTGCAGACTTAATGGGACAGTGACATTTGCAGGCAAACACGAGTTTGACTCGACTCTGATAGAAGATACCGGCACTTAACATATCTGATTTCTTGGATTTCCCTCGTATATTTCAGTGTGCCAGGAGGGGGAAATGGTCTGAGTTTAAGCCTCATTGGCGTAAAGGACCAGTATGTTATGTGTATGGTGGTGGTTTAGGCATTGGGATGAGTTTTAAACGTTGTTATCAGTGTAATAGGATAGGTACCCACAGCAGATTAAAAACACACGCTTTGCTAAAGTTGAGATTGGTTTGTGTTACTGATCATTTCAGTTTTTTTTTTTATGTTGTAATTGGTTTGTCTGTTACGTTTTATTTTAACGCATTAAATTTTTCTAGGCAAGTTACTTTGAAAAGGAGGAATTTACATTTTAAAGGTGGCTGCTGGTTTTTGTTTTTTGGGGCTGAATTAAAAACAGCAGTTGAAGGAGTGACTTCAGAATTGATAGATTACGATTTTAATAGAGACTATGTCTAATATTTAGATGTTTGTTAACATGTTTCTTAACAGTAGTCACATTTGAGCAATTTCTTCCCCTCCTGTTGACCGATAAATTGGTATGTAGACAGAAACGTATAGCTCACTAGTTTATTTCGACTCACATATTGTTGATTACATGAACAAGTTAGCACTGGAGTTTGTCTTGTTATTGGTTACAAGCTGCAGGGTGCGGATCTTTCCACTTAGCCTTCTCATGGACGAGATGCTCTATCTCATTTGCTCCTTTTTTTTTTTTTTTTTAGACAGAGTCTTGCACTGTCACCAGGCTGGAGTGCAGTGGTGCAAACTCGGCTCACTGCAACCTCCGCCTCCTGGGTTCAAGCGATCCTTTCGCCTCAGCCTCCCGAATAGCTGGGACCACAGGCGTGTGCCACCACGCCCGGGTAATGTTTTTGTATTTTTAGTAGAGACGGGATTTCACCGTGTTGGCCAGGATGGTCTCGATTTCTTGACCTCGTGATCCGCCCGCCTCGGCCTCACAAAGTGCTGGGATTACAGGCGTGAGCCACCGCGCCCCGCCCTCTCATTTGCTCTTAAACCAAAATCCTGTAGCTTTTTACAGGGGGAATATTTTGAAAATGCATTTAGGCCGGGCGTGGTGGCTCACACCTGTAATCCAAGCACTTTGGAGGCCAAGGCGGGCGGATCACCTGAGGTCGGGAGTTCAAGACCAGCGTGACCAACATGGTGAAACCCTGTCTTTAAAAAAAAAANAAAAAAAAAAAAAAAAAAAAAGAAAGAAAGAAAATGCATTTAAAATGTAGGCGTTAGTTTACAGAGGAAAATACATAGATGTGACAAAAAGCTCACATTTGTTGTTGGTGGTTATTCTGAACCAAGGTAATAGGCTGATTAGACTCTCAGATACCCTTTGAGAAACATTGAGTGTCTTTTATGCAAAATTTTTTTATGTTGTTTTCACTTTGGGAAAGGACTTTTAATCTCATAAATACCTTCCACCTGAAGTTAGTTAATTGAATAAATATGTAAGGAAAACGTGCAGCAGCATATTTCAAGTATTTAAGAAATAAGAACTAAAAATAACTTTTGATCCTAGGTTAATACGGAATTTAAGCAGAATTATTACCAATTTTAGTTTTTTTTTTTAAACAAGTAGTCTAAAATAAATGGGCCTTTTAACATTGGGGCATGGAAGGAGTACTTTACTGTATGCTTAAGTTCTTAAAATTGACTTTTTTTTAAAACAAGAGAGTTTTGAACCATTTAATAAGCATACACTCTAAAGATACTCATAGTTATATATCCTGCAAGAGCTGCGTGTTTGTGCATCATAAAACATCAAGAAGTATATTAAAAGTATATATAAGTACATGTAAGACTGAAGGTAACTGGATCTCTTTATGGTTTAAATTTGAATTTAATATGTTGTGACTGATAGTGTTGTTTCAGTGTGTAGCTGTGGACATAAAACAGTTTAACTTAGATGCTTGTTAAAGGATAGGTAAAAATAAGATATGCTAATAAGAGTAAATAACTTACTTGCTATCAATACAGTGAAATTATTTGAAGAAATTTGTTCAGTTTGATCAGCCTGTGTATAAACTACTTGCAAAAATCAAGTAGTTTATAAACTACTCATTTAATAAATGAATTTACAGGTCAACTTATTTTGGAAATAGTTTATAAACAGGCTGATCAAAATCACATATGTATATATACATATATAATCACATATATACATATATAGACTAATTTTCATTTGTAAGGTTGACAAAACATTGAAAGTTTTTATTTTGTCAAGCTGAAAGAGACTTTAAATGAAAGCTGATTATTGGACAACTCAAGTTAGCTTCTTTTGAGTAGTGATTGCCATGTAGCAGCCCCAAAGATGGGACTCTTAGGAAAAGATAGTTTGAGCCCAGGCCGGGTGGGGTGGTTCACACCTGTAATACCAGCGCTTTGGGAGGCCGAGGCAGGAGCATCACCTGAGGTTGGGAGTTCGAGACCAGCTTGACCAACATGGAGAAACCCCGTCTCTACTAAAAATACAAAATTAGGTGGGTGAGTGTGGTGGTGCACACCTGTCATCCCAGCTGCTCCGGAGGCTGAGGCAGGAGAATTACTTGAACCCGGGAGATGGAAGTTGCAGTGAGCCGAGATCACACCATTGCACTCTAGTCTGGACAACAAGGGCGAAATTCTGTCTCAAATAAATAAGAAAGTTTGAAGCCACTTGGCTCACGCCTGTAATCCCAGCGCTTTGGGAGGCCGAGATGGGTGGATCATCCGAGGTCAGGAGTTTGAGACCAGCTTGACCAACATGGAGAAATCCCGTCTCTACTAAAAATACAAAATTAGGTGACAGGTACACACCTGTCATCCCAACTACTTGGGAGGCTGAGGCAGGAGAATTACTTGAACCCAGGAGACGGAGGTTGCAGTAAACCGAGATCATACCATTGCACTCTAGTATGGACAATAAGAGCGAAATTCCATCTCAAATAAATAAATAAGAAAGTTTGAAGCCACCTGGCTCACACCTGTTATCCCAGCACTTTGCGAGGCTGAGATGGGTGGATCATCTAAGGTCAGGAGTTCGAGACCAGCCTGACCAACATGGAGAAATCCCGTCTCTACTAAAAATACAAAATTAGCTGGGTGTGGTGGTGCATACATGTAATCTGAGCTACTCAGGAAGCTGAGGCAGAAGAATCACTGAACCCAGGAGGCGGAAGTTGTGGTGGGCCGAGATCGCACCATTGCACTTCAGCCTGGGCAACAAGAGCGAAACTCTGTCTCAGAAAAAAAGAAAAAGAGTTTGAGCCCAGAGAAAAGTTAACAGATGAAAAAGATTCTGAAGAGAGTCCTCTTCCAGGGTCCAGTGTCAGCACATGGTTTTTGGATTGCTTATACTCAACTTTATTCTCATTTCATATCCCCAAATGTCCTAATCAAACAGAATAAGGTAGAGGTTAAAGAGAGACTCTTGAGGGGCATATGTTATCTGTGTGTAAAGTCTCATATTATTTTGGGGCCATAATGATGTTCAGGGCCAGACTTTAGATTTCTAAAGAAATATGTTCCCAAAATTAGGAGGCTGCAATAGAAATGCAGATTTTTTTTCTTTTCTTTCTTTTTTTGAGACGGGGTTTCGCTCTTGTTACCCAGGCTGGAGTGCAATGGTGTGATCTCGGCTCACTGCAGGCTCTGCCTCCTGGGTTCA